GGTCCAAGCACGCCCGTCATCCCAGCACTGAAGAAGCTGAGGCAGGAGGATGACCGTCAGTCCAGGGCCAACCTGGGCTACGGAGGAAGGACCTGTTTTATAAAAAACCGAAAGAGTAGGTTCAACCTGAAAGATGTCACGGGGTCGGTCAAGGTGTCGCCAGGTGCGGACGCGGCCTTGCCCCCCACAGGTGTCCCCCACGGCGCAGCCCGCCCGCCGGGACGCCGCGCCGCTCACCTGGTGGGCCCGGTAGCTCTCGAAAGCCTTCAAGGCACTGTCGGTGAGCTTCACGTGGAACACCGACACCCTGCTGCCGTCGCTCACGCGCCCGCACGACAGCCCGTAGCTCCGAGCCTCCTTCAGCGCCGCCATCTTGTAACCATCACTCCCCCGCCCCCTCCTCGGCGGCTGCGCCCGCACGCCGGCCCCGCCCCTCCGCGCCGCCCTCCGACGCGCTGCATTATTCATGAGGCCTGCGCGGCCACGCCCCCTCCACGCGCGCGAGACCGCGAGTCAGGCTGCTTTAGCCACGCCTTTCCCGCGCCCTCCGAACGCGCCTGCACGAACCGCTGGCCCCGCCCCAAAGGTCTCGCGAGGCCAGTCTCGGCCGCATCTCTCGCGGCGGGCTGGCCACGCCCCCAAACTCACAGCCACGCCCCCTGGCGCTCGAAGCCCGCCCCCTGCCCAAATCCGACGGAGCCTCAGGCGCGCAGCCAGCCGCAGAGCTGTGCTCTTTATGAGAGTCTGGTTACGCTCCCCGACGTGCTCGTCACGCCGGCTCGCGGTGACGAGCCTGTTCACGGTTACCGGCCAGGGAGCCCGCCCTCTCCGAGGGAAACCTGTAGACGCGTTCCGGGATGGCCACGCCCCCCGCCTGCAGGGACCCCGCCCACACAGAAAATTAAAACCCACTGCGCGCCCAGCCCCGCCCGCGAACTGTGGTGAAGCCTGCCCACTCCAGCTCATTGTCACGCCCCAGCCGCCACGGCGCCCTGCGTCACTGAGGAAAAGCTCCCCAAGCCCTGCGCGCTTGGCCACGCCCCGGGGCCTACCGAGCCCGCGGGCGGCCCGGTGCATTATTCATGAGGTGGTCCGGTCGCCCCCACCTCGTGCGCGGAGGTCTCCCGGACGACCGCCTGCCCGCCAAATGCACGGCCTGCCACGCCCCGTTAGGGAGCCCGTCCCGCTTAGAGTTCACCCCGCGGCACGCAGGCTGCCGAGCCCCCAAACTCCTGAGGTCGCCTTTAACAGCCTCAGCCCCTCAGACGGGCTGAATTATTCCGGAATCGCGGCAGGCCGCCTCTCGAAAGCCAACCCTCAACAGTTTGCCATCAGCGGGCCACGCCTCTGACGTCCTGACGTCCCCTCCGTCTCCGCCCCTGCACATATATACATATTCATAAGCCGCTCATGGCCCCACCTTTCACGTCCCCAGAGACGGCCATTTCCCAACTCCACAGGCCTGCCCCAGGCCCCGCCTCCACATGCATTATTCATGAGCCTTGACCACGTGGACGCACGTTGGCCCCACCCCCAGATCTCGCACTCAGGTGTTTATGCTTTTTTCCCCAGCTTGCATTAGGTGAAGTCTGTGCAGACCCAGCGGGAGCGTGAAGTGGGCGGGGCCTGCGCGCAGCAGGAGGGGGCGGGGTCTATTGGAGGCTGGGCCTGTGGGCGTGGTTACGCGGACGAAGTACGCGTGGGCCCCCGGGTCCAGCTAACCGGGCGTCCCAGAGCCGGCGGGCCGGAGCGATGCAGATGGGGCGGTGTGCTGAGCGCTTCTGATGCTGAAAGTTCAGTAACAGGGTAAAACTCCCACACGCCACGGGCTCGCTTTCCAGTAACACTCTAACGCGACATTCAGCACGTCCTCAGTGTTGCGCAATCACCACCACCGGCCGCTCCAGAACATTCCTTCATGGTAAAAACAAGCCTGGTCCCCATCTGCGGTTTTCCTGATCCTTCCCTGTCACTGGCATCTCTGATCTGCGTGTCCTTGTGGGCCTTTCATAGTGCGGTCACACATCCAGAGGCCTCTGAGGACTGCACAATATTCTGGTGCCTGTAATCAACAGCTGTTGCTTGTCCATCTGATGACCTGTGTCCACTGTGTCTGCTCACTGCTCACCTGTGGGCAGTTTTTAATAGACTGTGAATTGCTGGGATGTGTTAAACTCCTACACATTGACTAAAATATTTTGCCGGGGGTGAGGGTGCATGCCTTTAATCCCAACAGATTTCCAGGGGCAGAAGCAGGAGGATCTCTGTGAGTTCCACAGAGTGAGTTCCAGGACAGCTAGAGCTACACAGAGAAACCCTGTCTTGCAAAAAACCAACTATATATATATATATATATATATATATATATATATATATATATATATATATATATATATATATATATATATATATATATATACACACACACACACATTATACACACACACACATATAAAACCCTTAAAACGGGTTCTTACCCTCTAGCCCTGACCGGCCTGGAACTCACCATGTACAGCAAGCTGGCTTCAAACTCAGAGCTTTGCTTGCCTCTGCCTCTGAACTGCCAGGATGAAACTCTTGTGCCACCACACCCAGTGTAAGATTTTTATACATATTATTATGGGGGAGGGGTCCTAGCTGGTGCCTGTCTGACCTGCTTCACAGACTCCAGGAGATGTCTGGCTATTTTCCTGGAAATTTTCAGGAAATGCTTTGTTTGAGATGGCCTTGGTCTTCCCGCACTGAGATGGTAGGTGAGTCACCGCCCACTTCTTAGTCATTTTTCTGAGTATGAGTGTTTGCGTCTGTGCACCATGTACGAGCCTGATGCTCTCCAGACCACAAGAGGGTATCAGACCTGGAACTAGAGTTACAGGTGGTTGTGAACCCCCATGCCACTAAGCCGATGTTCCAGCTGCTTGTTTTGAAGTATAAAGATCCAGGCTGGACTGCCACTTACCACGGAGCTGAGGGTAACTTTGAACTCAGAATCCTCTGGTCTCAGACTCTGACTTGGGATGACTGGCACAGCCCAGGATGCCCCGGTGAGGGGCTGGGGGCATGGTCCATCCATCCCTGGAAGACTGAATTGGCAGGATGGCTCAGTGGGCAAAGCCACTTGCCACCAAGCTGGATGACCTGAGTTCAGTCCCTAGGACCCATAGGAGGAGGTGATATGTACCACTGCACACCCCAACCCCAACCCACAGTGTAATACAATGTAATGAACCCTGGGTTCCCAGAGCTGCTAAGTAAGCCAGACATGACAGCAAGTCTGTGGTCCCAGCTACCCAGGAGACTGAGGCAGGAGGCTCACCAGAGCCCAGCAGTCAGTACCAAGGTCAGCCTAGACCCTGTCTCTAAGGTTAAAAAAAGCATGCAAAGGCCAAGCGGTGGTGGCACATGCCTTTAATCCCAGCACTTGGGAGGCAGAGGCAGGAGGATCATCTCTGTGAGTTCAAGGCCAGCCTGGTCTACAGAGCGAGTTCCAGGACAGCCAGGACTGTTGCACAGAGAAACCCTGTCTCTGGGAAGGGGGCGGGAGCATACAGAAGGATGTGTGGGTGCATTTTATAGGAGGAATGTGGGACTAAAGCACCTAGGGGCGTAGGGGAGGCCAGACCAGGGCAGGTTCTGGTGAGCAGATGCCCCAGGAGGGGTGTGGGTGTGACTGAAAGATCTTAGCACCACTGCACCCTCCCTGGCTGTACTTCAGGAGGCAGGAGTGTAGGGAGAGCTCCTGCAGAGCTGCAGCGGGTTTGATTTGGGAGTATTAGCACCTAGCTTTAATCTGCTTTTGTGACTGCTACCTTTTGTCTCTGGCACCTTCTGTTTGAAACATGTCAATCTTGTCTGAGAGTTTCCTAAGGGTGCAAAGCCTATGCAGAACTTGGTTGGGGGAGGACTCCGCAATCAACGGTGAGTCAGTCCACCAGAGACTGATCCCCCTGCAGCTGGAAAGGCTAAAAGTCATCCTTAGGGCGCCTCTGTGTCTTCTTTCCATGGACCTGCATAAACCCACACCCAACACTCTAGCTGAGGTCAGAACAGCTCTGGGTGGCAGGCACAAGGCTGCCCAGACACTCATCCCCAAGGCTGGGCAGGCGAATACTGGAGTTGGCCAGAGGGTTGGGAAAGGAAGGGCAAGGGGAGCTGGGGCTCTGGAGAGCTTCAGGACAGCGGCTGTGGAACCCAGGGAAAAGCACTCTTCCTCTTTGAATTCTTGAGAAGTTTTGGGAAACAGGTCTTTAGTTTCATCCCCAGCACCTCTAAACATTTTTTAAATGAAAACTAAAACACTGTAAGTTCCAGGTATGTCATATCCCTGATACACCTGCCATCCCAACACTTGAGGTGGATGCAGGAGGATGAACAGTAGAAGGTCAGCCTCAGCTCATGAGACCCTACCTCAAAATACAAATCCCCCAACAGCCAGGCACTTACATGGATTATTACTCGCTTCTGGCCATGGCAGGTGTGTGAGGTCACAGGTTTGGGACGGGGCGGTCTAAATGGTGGCCTTATTCCCAGAGGCAGGCCGAAACTGTGCAGAGCTGGCAGTCACTGCTGTTGTGAAGCACAGTACTGCCTTGGACCAGTCTTCCTTATCCCCAGACACAGGGACCCTGCTCAGGTGACCATAACCCCTGCTTGGGTCAAACCTCAGCATCTGCCGGCCCACCCGACCTCCCCCAAGACCAGGACTGCCAAGGTCCCCCACCTCTTCCTTGTAGAAGCAACACCTCATACAATCAAGACCAACACCCACCAAATAAGTGACCCCAGAATCCACACAACCCCAAAAGGACCCAATTTCAGGCAGAAAATCACTACAAAATTAAAGCACAAAGTAGGGCTGGGCACAAGTCCTCGGGAGTGCCGCTGTGCGCGGCCTGGAGTCCGTAGCCCTCCTTAGGGCGGCCGTGCCGGGGCTGGCTCAGTTGTGACGCAGGCTTTCTCTGGTCCAGCCTCAGCAGAAGGAGGCTCCGGAAGCAGTGGGGTGCGGGGTGAGGCTTTATTTCATTCACTGTGAGGGGGTGGGGCCTGGACAGGAGGGCAGGTGGGCAGGACTAGTAGTAAGGGCCGCCCCCAGGCCTACTAAGAGGGAGAAACCGAGGCCTGACCTCCCCCCCAGGGCAGGGGTGTGGAACAGAGACAACTGGGTTTGGAGGAACAGGGCCCCTCCCTCTGGGCTGCACCCCACACCCCCCTTCAGGGCCTTAGTCCTTCCTGCTTGTTGGGGTGCGTGACCCTCAATCCTTGCCCCCCCAACCCAGAGGAGGCGGTTTGGCCAGGGAGGGCAGTGGACAGGGAGCCTGGGGGAGTTGGGGAGCACAGGTCAGGGTCCAGGTGCGCAGGGGGCAGTCAGTTCCTGGCAGCAATGACCACAGAGAGAGCCACGCCCCCCAAGGCCACAGCAGTCGCCCCAAACAGCCACTTCCATGGGATGGACTGTGGATAAAGGGAAGGGTAAAGCTGGCTGCATACCGAAGCGTCCACCATGACCCATCCATACAGGCCTCCTAGCCAGGGTTTTACCATGTCTAAGATACTCCTGCACACACACCCAAAGCCCAACCAAACACCCACTCCTCCAGTGTATTTCCTTCCTCAGAGCCTCCGACCTCACCATGAGCCCCCACTTCTGCCCCCAGAAGCCTGTGTCCCCAGCACTGCCCCCAGCCCAGCCACACCCAGGCTCACCCAGGCCCCCTTGCCCGGACACTTGGCAGGCAGCCGGCTGGGGTTGCCCAGCATCTTTCGGTACAGGGCAGTCTCTGTGCTCCTCTGTGCAGCACGCTTCTTTACCAGCTTTGAGAGCTCCGCGTGGATCGTCTGTGGAAGGTGGGTGGAGTGGGTGAACACGTGCAGGAGGCAGCAGACCTGCCTGTCATCACTCCTGTCCCCTTCTTCTGGTTCCCAGGTTTGTCAGGTGTGGGCCCCGGGACTTGGGAGTTCTACCTGCCCCATCAGCTCTAACAAAACGGGAGCTGCTGCCCCACCCCTACGCAAGCCAGAAGACAGAATGGTAATAACAACTAGAGGCAGACAACTAGGGGGACTTACCAGACAAGCCCACCAGAGTTCTGCTTACCTTGTTGGAAGGTTCCAGCTTCAGGGCAGCCCTCAGGATGGGGATGGCCTCGCTATATTCGCCTTGCTGAGCCAGCACCTATAGGAGAGGGACACCTACTCTGTGTCCACCCGGAACTCCGCTCTCCCAAGCCTGGTCTGGTGCGGAGGGTGCGGCGGCTGCTCAAGGCGAGGAACAACTTGGCACTGGCCTCGCCGCTGGGCTGGGGCAGGGGACTTGGGGACAGGCACCCTCAGAGTGCAGGGGCCTCAGGTCAGACTCGGTACCGCACGGCCCTGTGAACCCCACTGGATCTGAAGGCAGCTCCCCGATGGAGCAGTTCCAATAACTAGCCATCTTTCTGGATTTCTGCTGTAGTCTAGATGATCTTGTGACAATCCTCCTGCCTCAGTCTCCTGAGTGTTGGGACTACTGGCCTTTGCTGCTGTGCCTGGCTGCAATCCTTCCTTAGGCTTTGGCTGTCGGTGGGGTTCTCTCTGGCCCCCAGGTCCACGGGGCCTGGTTTCTACACTCAGGCTCCTAGAACTGTTACAACAGCTGGTTTCCCTGCACACAGTTAGTGCTTCATAAACAGCAGCTGGCGAGTTTCTCAGACACCCAATGTGTCTCTGCCTCACCTTCCCTGTGGGAGGCCCTAGGATTGTATCCTCAACACCATCACAGCACAGAACCAACTGCACTGGACCCAGACAACCCAGGCAGAGGGGACAGCCTGTGCTGAGGAGCTGGCCTAGAAATTAGGGGGGAGGAGAGGCTGAGTGTCCCCAGTGTCTCCAGCCCGGCCTGGAGTGAAGAACCACACTGGCCACCCTGTCTACAGTGCCACCTGTGGTGTCTGGACAGGAGAAACAGCTCAAGGGGAGAGCCTCAAGGCTCAGGGCTCCAAGGCCACGAGGAAGCTGAAGTCTTGGGGGGGGGGGGGGACACGGTCGTCACAGAGCATCAAACACAAACTGTGGGCACCCAAGGTTGGGGGCCGGCACAGGGCTGCAGCACACCTTGCCTTTGCGGAACAGTGCCTTGATGTTGTCAGGCTGGTGCTCCAGCACCTGGCTGCAGGAGCGCAGCGCTGCACGGTAGTGGTCCAGCTTCAGCTGCGATGCCGCAAGATTGTTCAGACACTTGACCTTCAGCTGCAGCAACTGCTCCTCTTCCTCACAGGTCATGTCCACTGTAGGGGAGTGGTCACGCTGAAGGAGCCCCACCCTCCTCCCCGGGGTGTACACCACCAGAACCCTAAGCAGGCCACCCGAGTCCTTACATCATAGATAGGGTCTCAAGTGGTTCAGGATGGCTTCCAACTCACTCTGGCATCCACCTGACGCTGAGCTGACGGGACATGCCACTGAGGCTGTGTGCAAGCATGAAGGTACCGCCCCAGGGCTTACTTATGAGCCAAGTGAATATGCATGTCTGTAATCTCAGCAGGAGCAGAGGCAGGATGACCACCTCTCTCACCGCGGTCCATGTTCAATGACAGACTATGTCAGAAAAGGTGAGCAGGGGCAGGGAAAACCCCAGGTGTCCACCTCTGACCTGAACTGTAAGTGAACACACGAACGAACACACACACACACACACACACACACACACACACACACACACACACCAAAGGCAGGGTCCTGCTATGTAGTATACAAATTGTCATCCTCCTGCCTTAGCTTCTGATCATGTGTACCACCACTGTGTCTGGTCACCACAAGCCTGAAAGGAGCCATTGACCTGAAGGCTATGGATGACAGGGGATCTGTCTATGTTCTGGAATATTCTAGAATGTTCTGTGGCCCCAATGACAGTGCAGAAGTCTGGCCACCCTATGGGCTGGCCAGAAGGCCCAGCTGGTAAAAGTGCCTGCTGCAAAGCTTAAGGAACAGAGTTTGAGTCCCTACCACATGGTGGGAGGACACAGCTGCCTCCCTCAAGTTATCCTGACTTACACACACACACACACACACACACACACACACACACACACACACACATCCCAGCTGACTAGTCACCTTTGGCGCTGGAGGTGATGGCCTTGATGGCCAGGTCATAGGAGTTGGCAGCCAGCACAAAGTCAGCACGCTGGTAGTGGGCATTGCCACACTCCCGCTTGCGGTTGGCCAGAGCCACACGCTCCTGCCCACTCAGCATCTCCAGGTCAGGTCCATCCTCTGCCTTCTTCAGGGTGACTTCCAGGCACAGGGCTGCGTGGGGGGGGATGTATGGGCTCCTGCTGGGGAGGTGACCAATGGGAGACACTCAGACCTGGCAACCAGGCTGCACCCACCACCGCACCCTCCCTGGCAGGAAGGCCAGGACTCAGGTCCCTGGGGTGCCCCATGTCAATTACCCACAGCAATCTGATACAATACACTTGTGACTTGGCCAGCCCAAACCTCAGTTTCCCTTTCTATGAAATGGGAAGGATGGTAGGGACGGTTGAATGTGCAGTCCATCTCTCACCTGCCTTGGGGACCGTAGCAGTACTTGGAGTCAGCAGTGACCATGGCTGTCTCGCCCACATCCATGAGCGGGACACTGAGGTCCAGGGCCTAGAGGACAGGTCAGTGTCAACACGAACCCAGGTCCTGTGAGGTGCTGCCCACCTGCCCACCCAGCTCCCACCTGGATAACATCGCAGTCTCCCAGCGTGAAGGCCAGCTCAGGCTCTTCCTGTACTCGGGTGCCATTTTCCAGGGACATGTGCAGGTGCACGGTCACCACCTGGCCCTTGAGTGGGCGGCTAGAGCCTGGTGGGCCAGGGACCAGCGTCTTCTTCCGCAGCAATCCATTCCCTGCAGGGGCCGGGATGTGAGCCTGTGATCTGGTGGCCAGACATGGGTCTCTGCTCTATCAAGCCACCCTTCAGGAGCAGCCACCTCCCATGCTGCTGCTGTTTTAGTGACAGGGGGGTAGAATCAAGACCTTGTACAATTTATACCAGAGCTCTATCACTAGGCTGTGCCCTAACAGGACAGCATTAGGGATGTCTGGCCAACATGGCTGTTCAGGATTTTTAAGACTTGTTTTGTTTTGTTAATTTCATGTGTACGGGCATTTTGTCTGCATTTACGTTTCTGCACTACATGAGCACAGTGCTGGCAGAGTTCAGGTGAGGGGTGTCAGATCCCCAAAATTGGAGTTAATCACTTAACAGCCATGTGGGTGCTGGGAACTGACCTAGGGTCCTCCAGAAGAGAGGCCAGTGCTCTTCATCACTGAATCATCTCTCTAGCTCCTGCTGGTCTGCATTTTAAGAACCCCTTCCTTGAATCCTCGAGGGGCCGGGGGTAAACCCCAGTGGCAGAGTCTTTGCCGGGCATGCAGGGGGCTTTGGGTTCCATTCCCTTGCACCACTCATACAGTTAAAAAAAAAAAAAGGTCCTCCTCAAAACATAATTACTGATGGCACTCTCCTCAGACGGCATTTTAGGAGAGAAAAACAAACACTCTGAAGCAAGTGAAGGTGGAACAGAACCAGACAACTCTGCCGAGCAGTGGCACAGCTTTCAGAACCTGTCACACGTCTAGACAAGTGCTTAGGAAGGATGCAGTGGGAGCTGGCTTGGAGCTGCTGGCACCCAGTGCAAAGGCTGTGTGGCTCCAGGAAGGTGACTCAGCCCCTCTGAGCCGCTCTTACCAGCAGTGGAGGTAAAAGGCAACCTGTTACGAATTGTGTGTGCATGCCAAAGTGTGAGCCAATGAACAGAGTTCAGAAGCACGCCTGTCTCAAGCAGTCTGGGAAGCCAGCCACATAGCACAGGCCTGTGAGACCAGCACTGAAGAGGCCAAGACAGTGAGACAGGAGGGTCCAAAGATCAAGGCCAGCCTGGGCTTCACAGTAAGGTCATTTCAAAATAAATAAAAATCAGCCAGTGATGTCCTAATGTTACTTCAAGCCCACAGAGAAGGGGAAATGAAGTTCAGGAGACAGAAGTCCCTGGGTCAAGGTGGCCCCCGACCCTGTGCTCTGTTCACACTTACCCAGGATGTCCAGCCACTCTTCAGGGGCTGGGGCTGGGGCTGGCTCAGGTTCTGTGGCTGCCAGGAACTCCCGAGCCAGGGCTCCCGGCTGCTCAGCCTCCTCCACTGTCAGCTGCCCCATATCCTCCAGTGGTGGCAGCCCACTTAGGTCATCTTCCTCCTCTTCCTCTTCTTCCTCCTCCTCCCCCTCTGCATCTTCTACCCCATCAAGCACCTCAAAGTCCTCCAGTGGTGGGACCCCCGCAGGCGGCCGGGCAGCGGGCTCAGAGGGCTCGGCCCAGGACGCCATGCTGCTGGGGGATCAGGAACTAACCCTAGGGGACAGATGGCCAAGCACTATGGTGACAACCCCATCTAGGCAGCCCCTTTAATTCCCTCAGCTCCGATTCCCTACAGCTGGGATCCCTCATGTGTCTCAGCAACAGCAGGCTTGCATTCATCATCTATACATTGGGCGTCCTACCAACCTGGCTTGTTGAAAGAACAAACACAGACCTCAAGTTCTGAGCCACAGGCTGCAGCTGGGTTAGCTGTTATTAAAACTAATTACTATGTAATCTTTATAAACACCCCAAAAGTAGGGAAACCCTAGCTTACACAAAAACAGACTGAACCGGCCCAGAAAGGCAAAGCCACTTGGCCAAGGTCACACAGCAAGCCTACAGTGGGGCCAAGACTGAAAAGTAAGGTTATTGGACTAACAAGAAAAAAGTTGCTAAGGTTATTGGGGCAGTGGGGATAGTCCCTGAGGCCTTGGAACAGCATTTTTATAGTGTCTAGGTCACTTGAGAGAGGTGAATCTTTTATAAGTTCTTGCCTCTGGCTACCTTGTCTACTAAAGGCTCCAATCCCGCATGAAAGGATCAGTGCCAGACACTGGATGTCTCTGTACCCTGAAGATACCGAGGTCTCCCAACATTAAGGACCCTGGCTGCAACCTGCCTCTCTCATCAAGCCTGTTTCCAGCTTGATGTACGCACTGGGGAGGCAGGTCAGCCGATAGGGCACTTGGCCTACCAAGTACAAAACCCGGGGTTCTATCCCCGGCACCACAGAAGCCAGGCATCAGCAAAGGTCTGTCATCCCAGTACTTGGGAGGCGGAGGCAGGGTGATCAGGAACTCAAGGCCATGAAATTCACGGACTGCATGAAACCCCATCTCAAGAAATCTAAAACGTACGCTAGGGTTGTAAGAGTTGGTAGAGCGCTCTCCTAGCAGGCACGCTGTTGGCTCAGCACCCCCATAACCCTGGTGTGGCAGTGCACGCCTGTCATCCCAGCTCTTGGGAGGTACGGGCAGAGGACCTGGAGTTCAAGGCCAGCCCGAGCTACACAGCCGCCTGGGAGACTAGCGTAGACTACATCGGACTGTCTCGGAAAAAATAGAAGCAAAACAGAAGTGCGGACCCCAATACGGAATCCCGCAGCGTCTCCCCGGCCCCAGGCCTGTAGGGAGCCCCCCAACCCGGCCGCAGCACCCCGCGTCCAGTCAGGCCTTCTCCCGAAGCCCCAGGAAGCCCCGGAGCCCCGCGTCCCTGCCCTGCGACCCTCACCTGTGGGGCTCCTTCCGGGATCCGGCCCCGACCGGAGACCCTCCCGCCCCGAGCCCCCACAATGCCCCGCGCGCCCCGCACCCCAACGCCGCCCCGCGCCCGGCCGACACCACCGCCCCGGGAGGCCCCGGCCCCTGCAGCCCCGAGCGGCCCCGGCCCCGGCCTCGGCTCCCGCGCTGCGCCCCGCCACACGTGCCTGCGGCTCGGGGGACCCCGCTTGGGGTCCTGCGCCCCCTCCCCGCCCCCAGCCGCGGCCGCCGCGCCTCGGGAAGCAGCTTCAGACGCGCCGCCCCGCCCCCGGCGCGCCCATTGGCCGTTCGCGCCGCGGCCGCCGCGCCCATTGGCTTGTGAGCACATCCGTCTCGCGACCCAGATGCCGCCTCCTTCCTGCTAGGCTCGGCTAGCTGTTCTTAAAGGGGCTCTAAGGCTGGGGGGTGTCATGGGCAGTGGAAGACGGGAGCACTCTGGCCGGGACCTCTGTAGGGAGGGTGGCGGCATGTCCTGGTGTGACTCCGAACTCGGGTCGGCTTCATCCTGCTCACATATGAATTAGACATAAGCAATAAACACCTCAGCTCATGAGCGGCCAGTTTGGGAGCTCTCTGGGAAACAGCAACTTAAAAAGTATTTACTTTTCTTAATTTTACTAATTATTTCATTTCCCCTCCCCCTCTCTCCCTCTCCACTTCTCCTTCCTCTCCCTCTTTCCTTGAACTCACAGAGATCCACCCTCCTCTGCCTACTGAGTGCTGGGATCAAAGGTCTGTGCTACCACCACCACCCAGCTTATTTTCTTTTTGAGATGGGAAACTCTCACTACATGTAGAGCCCAGGCTGGCCTTAAGTCTGTGGTGGTACTCCTGCTTAGCCTCTCCAGTAGTGGATCCCAGGTGTGCGCTACCACACCCAGCTCTAAGGCAGCTAGAGCTGATGAAAACGAGGAAAATGTGCCGTCCTGTAGAAACAACTTGAGCAGCTTTCACATTTGGTATTCATCACTCTGGAATGGGTCTTTCAGACACCTAAGGATGGAGTGCAGACCTTCAGGGTTAGTGCACATCCATACAAATAGAGCAGCGAAAATCAGGATTCTTTCTAAACAGCAAACAGAAGAATCAAGCTGCTTGGAGCTAAGGAGAAAGTGACATTTCCCAAGGATCTCACCTCTTCGGACTGCCACAGGCACCAGACACATATATGGCACATATATGCAGGCAAAACAAATACATACAATAATAGGAGTATTTTTATTCAATAATAAAAATAAAAACAAAATCAGGTTGCTGGAGAAAGCTAAGTCTTCAGGTATCCCCCGCCTCACGGGACATCTTGTAGTACTTGAACTTTGGAAGTATCCAGAAACTACATACGGTGTTGCAAGCCTTCACTCCCAGCACCTGGGAGGCTGGGGCTGGAGGATGGCCATGAGCTCAAGGCCAGCTCTCTATCCATAGTGTAAGAGAGAATTTGTTCTGGTGCATTTTCAGTGTCAAGTATGCTTAGAATCCATCCCAGAGTCCAACTGAACATGAAGTGCTAGGCCCCTCTTGCCCCAAGCTGGCAGCTCCTGTCTACTTCTCTCCGAACTCAAGATGTTTGGAAAGTTGCAGGTACTATGCTTTATGACCCATGCCCGCCATCAGGGAAGGGATAGTCAGGCTCAAGCCCCAGAACATTCATTTGATGAAATTTTGAGTCCCCTGAAGAGAATGAGGAATTTAAAGGGGCTATGCTAAAAGTATACAAAGACTGTAACTCTGTGGGAAAAAGAAGCCAGAGGTTTCTCATGATCAGGACTTTAAAAACTACTACTTTAGCCGGGTGGTGGTGGCACACATCTTTAATCCCAGCACTGGCGGGGGAGGAAGACAGATCTCTGTGAATTCGAGGCCAGCCTGATCTACAGAGTGAGTTCCAGGACAGCCAGGGCTACACAGAGAAACCCTGTCTCTAAAAACAACAAAACAAAACAAAACTGCTTCTCTTTCACTAGCTAGTCTCTTTATTAGAGTGGAGGTTGTTTCTCACAATAGTGAGCACCAGGGCAGCCTGGGCTAGAGCTATCTCAAAAACCTGAAAGTCACAGTACTGGCCATACATCTGTCATATCAGGAAGTAGAGGCAGGGAGACCAGGAGTTTAAGGACAACCTCAGCCACATGAAAAGTTGGAAGCCAGCCTGGGCTGCATGGTGCTGGAAGTTGGCTCAGTGGTTAAGAGCGCTTCTTGTTCTTGCAGAGAACATGGTCTGGGTCCTAGCACCCACATGGAGACGCACAACCATTCAGTTCCAGGGAAACCGACTCCCTCTTCTGGACGTCATAGGCACCAATCAATCACATGCTGCACATACGTATCTGCAGGCAGAACACTTAAACACATTAAATAAATCTAAAAAATTAAAAATAGAACTAGTGGTGAGGGTGGCCCTGGGGCTAAAGGGAACAGTGGGGGCAAATAAGCTCAAAATACATTATATTCACGTGCACAATTTTAAAAGGATTAATAAAAATACGACATTTAACTGCCTACTTCCAGGTTGCTTAGGAAGCCAGGTTTGGAACAGTGCGCATGCGCATCGACCGCCCCGTGATTGGTCACTCTTCTGACGTTCTCGTAAGTGCCTCTTACCTATTGGTCCGACCCCTTCCTGCTTTCGAGGTCACGCACGGATGTTGCGTGATGACGTAGGCGGCGCGGACGCCATCCCGGAAGCGCGAGACAGGCCTCCAGATGTGCAGGTGCCGAGGCCGGCGACGCCGGTGCTGGGCCGGGGCGGGGTCGCGGGTGGCGGGAGGCCGCGGGCTGTGCCGCCGCGGGGAAGGAGGGCCCAGCCTGGCTCTGCGGCCGAGCCGGCCTCAGTTTCCCGGACTGCGCGGCGCGGCGCGGGCGGACCCGGATGGGAACCCGAGTTGTGTGTCGGTCGCAGCCCGAGTCCTGAGCGGCTCGGAGTGCGCCCGTGCCTCAGTTTCCCCTCTAGAAGGGGCGGGGCCTCAGTGCACGTTTGAGCCCCGCCTTATCCGGTGTGGTTTTTCTTTGTTTTTCCCCCTCGGAGTTTGGGTCGTCGAGTTGAGTTCGGTTGGGACTCGGGCGCGACGGTGCCTTGTGCTCCTGGTTTGCGTCCTTGAGGCGCAAAGCCCTTCCACTCAGCCTTGCGTCCCTGGGGGAGGTTGAGATAGTAGCCCAAATCAGCCTCCAATTCCTGGTAATCCTCCTGCTTCAGCCGCCCCAGTACTAGAGGAAAGTCAGTCAACTTATCTTTGAGACAGGCTGGCCTTGAGCTCCTTGGAGCGCGCTTGGATTTAGAAGCTTAGAGCCGCCACGCCTGGCCTGTATTGTGCTTTGAGTCAGGGTCTCATTTGTCCCAGGCTGGCCTGGAACTCACGATGTAGCCCAGATTAACCTTGAGTTTACAGCAGTCCTGTAGCCGCCTGAGTCGGGGATGACAACCTGAACTGTCGCGCCAGGCCTGTGTTTTAAGATAGGGTTTCATGCATCTTAGGGTGGCCCAAGCTGGCACTCTGCGTGCTACCATTTCAGCCCCAGTCCAAGACTAATAATGTGATCTAGAACAAAATCTCGAGTCAAAAGTCTGCATCTGAGGGATGCCATTAACCCGTTTGACTCCACCCTTTAACCACGTCTTTTTTTTTTTTTTCTTAAAAAATATTTACATTTTATTGATTTGGGGGCATGGGGCATGCACCTTCATGTCTTGAGATCAGGGGACAACCTGCAGGAGTTGGTTTTCTTTCTACCATGTGTCCCAAGGCTTGAACTGGAGTCTGGCTTGATGGCAAGCACCTTTTAGACACTGAGCCATGTCACTGGCCATCTTTCTCCTAAAATAGGATCTTCCTATGTTGCCTAGGGTGCCTGGGAAGATCTGTGAAGTCCTGGCTGGTCTTAAACGTTAAATCCTGCCTTACTCCTCCACTCCCCATGTGCTGGTGTCTACGACCATGTATCTGCCTTTTGCCCAAGGTGATGCTTGATGACCTTGGGTGACTGGACTGTGTGATCCTCGGATGGAAGGGACCGTGCCCTGCCCATAGCTAGTTTTTTTTTTTTTTTTTTTTTTTTTTTTAACCCCTGAGACAGGGTTTCTATATGTAGCCGTCTGTCCTGGAACTCTATATATCAGGCTGCCCTCTGCTGCCACGCCTGGCTTAAATATGTATGGTTTTGTCTTTTGGTGTGCCTGTGTGGGGTGTGGAGGTCAGGGAATACCATTGGGCGCCACTCCCTGCTTGCCTTTTACTGTGTTTGAGACAGCATCTCTTGTTCACCTTTCTGTGGGCCAGGCTAGCTGGCCTTGGAGACTCCAGCTGCTCTTGTCTCTGCCTCCTGGCTCCCCGCACAGGTGCTGGGGTTGCAAATGGAGGCACTACTACTGCGGCTAGCTGTACTCGAGCTCTGGCGACCCCAAGGCAGGTCATCAAGTTCCCATCCAAGCACTTTACACACCCAGCCTCCTCCCCACCCTTCATTCTCCCCTGCCTCTGTCTCCCAAGTGTGGAGTTAAAGGTGTGTACCACCGCCCCTGGCTGCCCCCCACCATTTTTGTTTGTTTGGTTGGTTGGTTTTTCAAGACAGGGTTTCTCAGTGTAGTCTTGGCTGTCCTTGAACTCACTCTGTAGACTAGGCTGGGCTTGAACTCACAGAGATCCACTTGCATCTGCCTCCTGAGTGCTGGGGTTAAAGGTGTGTGCCACCACCACCCGGCTGCCACCATTCCCCCCCCCACACACACACAGGGTCTCACACTGTAGCCTGAGCTGACCTGAAACTCACTGTGTAGTCCAGGCTCCCCTAAATTCATGCCAGTTCTCCTGCCCTAGACTCTGTACTGGAAAAGAAGACACCACCACACAGAACGTATTTGGTCAGGGCCTTGCTCTGTAGCCCTTCTCGGCCTTC